GCATGCGCAGCGTGCCCGCGGCGGGAGCGCAGCGCGTTAAAGGCGGCGTCGGGAAACAGCGTGACCCCGTCCACATCCCGCCGTGGCAACAGGGGGATTATGGACTCCTCAGGCACTGAACTTAAATGAACTTAAAAACAAAAGTTTTAAAATATTAAATATGTTTAAGCTATCTATCTATCTGCATATCCTCCTATCAACAGAGATCTTATAAAAAAACACTTAACTACAAACGTGTTCCCATTCACCTTTAGTTAGGCATCACCAAACATAGTAATTCTATGTAAGCAAATCTGGGACGAAAAGCAGATGGAAATTCCTAGCGGAGCCTTGTTCGTTACAACAATATCAGCTGGACATAAAGATCCCCTGACAACCAACCCTTATGACAACAATTTGTTTAAATTCTTGCCCTGTGGGATAAGGAACAAAAAAAAAAAAAAAAAAAAAAAAGGCATGGGCACATACAGAAAACTTGCACGCAATATCTGGGTCTCATCCTCTTAAAAGGAAATTGATCCTTGGTGACAGCAGCAATACATYACAATGCATTAGCACTACGTGGCTCTTAATAAGGAGTCTTGTCTTATTGTACATAGGTGCATTAACACAGCAATTAATCATTATCTTCTCGCTCCTTTATAATGTTCATCACAGATACGCTGCTCAGGGAACAGTACTCCCACTAGGTAATGTGCTGTTTTATATACTGTCTTCAGAAACAAAATTCACTCCGTGAATTCACTCCATGAACTAGAGAAAGAAACAAATAAATCCAGGTTGTAGAAGAAACCKGTTTTCAGAACAACAGATAATTCTGTCCTCTCTCAGGTGATACCCAACTGCTTCAGTGTATCAGAAGCAGAATACACAGGACCTGAGCTGTTTAGGGAAAGATACTGTTTCTTTGGGTTTAAAGCTCTTCAACAGGCTCTAGGTCAGAATTCCTCAATTTCTCTTTAATTAAYGCAATAGTTAAAACATCCACTCGACTTGACAGTGAGTAGTAACTTTGGTTCTTAGCCCAGTAATAAGAAAGTACAAGTTATATTTAGCAAATCATAAATTTTCAGCAATTCAAAACAATATAGATACAGAAAAATGAAAGAGATAAAACATATATTGTATCAGTGATTCTACTTTCCTTCTCCTGTAAAGAGTGGTGGCTCAATGAAGGATAAAAGCAAATATTAGATTGATCCTATTCTTGATCTTAGCCAAAAGATAGCTGTATCTGGTGCGAAGAAATTGAATTTAGATTCATAAAATTCTTAGAAATGATATAGAAAAGATATATAAAGATATATAAAAGATATATAAAAGGGCATAGAGTCCATCTCCAGGAGACCTGTACTTCGTCCTGCCAGCAAAAACTTCAAGAAGATACATAAATTTATTTAACCCAATAGTTCAAGTCAGCCCCTTATTATGTATGAAATTGTAAAAGTAACGTAAATGTGTATATATAACACTGGAGCATGCTGTCAAAATGAACTAAATTGCTCAGGGCTTTCTATCCCATGTTCTTTTTATTTGAGATTCCCATCTCCTGTATTCCTGTATGTCTTTTTTTTTTTTTTTTTAAAGACACAAACTATTAATTTTGACAAGTTTGTATGAACTAGAATATCAAACTCCCGCAATAGACTAGCCACCTGTCTTTCGGGCAAACCATCTTAAAATTTCATTTTAACAGTCAAAACTTGGCTTTTCAGTTAGAACTACCGTTTCATTCTGTTGAAAGACCAAAGACGATATATCTGCAGTACTGTGCGAAGTAAAAGTCTGAAACTATTATTATATCTTAAGAATACAGCAAAGGCAGTGAAAATAATATAAATTCACTGATGCCATTGTCCTTGCCCTTTTGGCCCCAAAAAGGAATATCATTTCTTTCAGAGATTTTATACTTTACTTCTTTCATGTCTCTGTTGTGAAACTCTATTGATTTTGGCCACCTTCTCCATATGATGTTAACCAGCTTTTAGAATAACGTAGAACAATTTAAGACACGAAATGAAAAATACCTGCAGCTGAAATTACAGGGGGATTTTCAATAGGGAGACCATAATTACCTAAGACACAAATTGACTTGTAAAGCAGAGCTTGCAAACTTTTCTTTTTTTGGAAAAAAAAAAAAAAAAAAAAAAAAAAAAAAAAAAAGAGCCATGTGACTTTCATGGCAGCTTAGACTTGTGTGCAGCATTAAGCATACCACTGTTTCCAGTCTAAACTAAGTGGGCTTTTTTTTTTCACATGTGTGAGCAGCTTGCTTCTTAGACTACAAACAGCTTCCAAGGCAACTCAGTATTTCCTTGCTTATTTAATATGCACTGGTAAACCTGAATTAATTACATGCATCAGATTACTTAAGTGATCTCTTGGAGCAGAACCACATCCATAGCAACACCACCATACAGTTAGGACATGTCCCCATTTTACAGAGTGGGGTCTAGTCAGGAGAACAAAATTTGTCTCTGTGCTGTCCCGCAGAAGGCTTAAGCATCCAGGTTGCCAGAAGCCAGGACTGCTTGGGGAAGGTGGCAAGGGTYGTCTGGTTTACTGGGAATAACAAGAAGAAATCAAATCCCAAATAGTGGGTAAGCATGCTTGGGAAGAAAGAATGCAAGTCTTCTTTCTAATGTCCACATAGCCTTCTTAAATACCTCAACATAASGGTTGTTCTGTGATCATACTAAGGCAATATGGTTAAAATTACAATGAAGCTGTGTTTGTTATCGCCCTTCCCCTTTCTTTCCTGACTCATTGGAGGTTATGGACTCATCTTGGCAGAGTACATTAAAATAAAAGGGTTTATAGCTCAGTAATCAGTCCTGGGAGCACTTCTCTTCCTGGATTCCTAATTTGAAATATCTGCTGTGCTAGCAGATGTTTATAGAGATCTGCAAGGAAGAGTTTATGTCCATATTCACTCCAAAAAGATTATGCAGCTGCATATAAAAAATGAATTTGCAGAGTGCTAGAGAACTTAAGTATATTACTCCTAGTAAAAATAAAACTCATTGAGCAGGGGACCTGAGGTCAGCACATACACTTGCACTAAGAACGTTATTTTAACTGGGTACCAGCTCGGCCTGTGGTGGCATAACATTGAAAGCTTTATTCTAAAAYTGGGGTCAAATATTTCCATAAGATCTTCTTTAAAGTAATATATTGATTTAGTTACTGCAGGATCTGCAATCAATCTCTCTGATTGAAAGTCAGAGTCACTCCAAATCATTTCTTGAGTTCTTCAAAATCTGGGAGCTCAAAATTCCTAAGATGACAGGGATGGCACAGAGCCCCCTCCGACCAGCATCTCCCTCAGTTTGAGCACCGGACCTGCTCTGTTAATACTCGTGACAGTAGGGCTGTTAGGAGCAAGGCAATAGGAGAACGTAAAAACCAGCTCCAACAGAAACGTCTTCTGGGGGTGGTTTAAGAAAGGACATTTTTCAGCGGTACTGGACTAGTCTAAGTTGCTTGTCGTGCTGCTGCCTTGCGGCGCCGAGCGCGGCGCGCGGCACGCGTGGCCTGTCCGAGAGGCCWGTGCCGCAGCTGCCCACGGCAGCGTCCACTGCCGCTCGCTCGGCTCAGCGCCGCGGGCACCCGGGCAGGGCAGCTGCTCATCCCCTCACACCCAATCCAGCGCAGTTCAGCCGACAGGAGGACAGTGGGATTAAGCTATTGCTTACTTACCAAATCAGCAACTACAACTTGAAGAATGAAATAAAAATAGTSATTTCCGAAAAGTGTAGTCTCAGAGGGACTCCTCCTACTGTGAGTTCTTCTTCTTTAGTCCTTCAGATATCAACATTGAAGATCCCTTTGATGAAAATAGAACCAAGCTCCAAAAACACATCTTGCTTCAAAATACGATTATAGTGTTTCATATACAAAACTGAGACTTAAACCTTTAACTCCTGGGCATATTGAGCAAAATCTAATTTTTCTTCCTGCTTTTACACTTTCAATGGGCTCATACATTACATTTTGGCAACTACCTTTTCTATGTTATCCAAGCCAACAAAGACATTACTCTTGATTAATGGCTATTTAAATTTCAACTGCTTCTGCTGTGTTTTAAAATATAAACTATAACTAGATGTTTTATACATATAAGAATACTTTTTTCTCACAATCACAATGAAAAATTATTTTGTAGAAAATGCAGAGGAATTGAATACGAGCCAAATAAAGTATTTTTTTTTTTTTTTTTAAGTTGAACTCAGCCATGTAACTTTTCAGTGTCAATTCCAAACTTCTAAAGGAATCAGTGCCTGCCATGAGGAGGTTATAAAGGAACCCATTTTTCCAGTCTTACCTACAGCTTTGGCTACTATTCATTCACCCATTTCCATTTACGTAATAAATGTAAAATACTGATAATTATTCCTGTATCAGTCAAAAAATTCTCAGCCTACTTTCATATGATGTTAATACAATGTAAATCATTACACGATGTTGCTAATATTTGGTTCTCCACCCTATATAATTAAAAAAAAAAGTAGATGCCAATTTTTAGCAAGGCATTCATCAGAGTGGCATTGTTAACAGGTGTACATTTCATTTTCCATGCAAGCACTGTTAGAATGTAGAACAGTAACGCTGCTCCTAGGAACAAGCAGCATAATTAAATTCCTTTGATTTTGATTTCCTGGGTATTTTCTTCCTTTAAAATACCTATATTGTAAACAAGAGCCAATTTCTTATATTTGAGCCAGGGGTTGTAGAGCTTATATCTCAGGTTCAAAATGGTGATTTAGGCAATAATGCCTCACAGCTGAATAGTTATTTGGAAGAGCTGCGCACCTGTGACTGACTGTCAGCTGAAAAAAGCAAAGCTAAATGCTTTCAGCTTCTCTTATGCATTATAACAAGGGTACTAGTAGCCACTATAGTTACAATAGTTAAGGATGTAATGCGTAACTGCATTTCTGATTGCTTGCCATTTTCTTAATTTTATTCCTTTTAGACTGAAAAMGTTCATACTTTGTGTCAGTACATATGCATTGAATTAAACTTCTCATGTAATTCATTTTTTCCTCTGTTTTGGGTGTGTGTCAATGAAATTTTAAATGTTAAATAAAAGAATCATATTCTTTGCCCATAATTCCAACATTTCCGTATTTCCTGGACTTTTAAACATGAGTAATTAACAGAAGCCTGGAAAAAAAAAAAGTAGTGTTGCTGACCTCTCTGAAAAAATTTTATCTGAAATTTTAAGACAATAAAGACATTCTTCTCACCTCAGTATGCAGTAGGATTTTCTGATGACCCTTTTAGCTGCAGTTCACACTTGAACTCTGAAATAGTACACAGACTGTACATATTCTCACCTGKTTTCCCTCTTGATTCAGAAGAGCCTCAATCATTTGTATGCCGGTGTGGTCACGCTGCAATGGTCAAACACATAACAGAGACCCCAGCTTATTCTAACTGATTTGGGACTACGGTCACCAGCCGTCCCTGTGCTGATGCAACCCCTGCCCGCGGCGGGAAGGCCACGTGGATGTGCACAGTCCAGCTGCACAAGCTGAGGCTGCCACTCGAAGGCACAACTTGCGCAGGTCCATCAGCAACACCATTCCCAAGACGTGACCACTCGAGACCTGCTAAGTTTTCAAGACAAGACTGAGTTTTAGTTTCTCATGTCTATTGAATATCTACAAAAATACCTGTTTACCATCCAAGTCTACAAGGCATCAGATCTGTAACACGTTTAGGGATCTCAGGTGATGGGCGGTGTGTGCAACGCAATTATCCTACTGCCCGTCTGCTCAAGAAAAGCARCTCCTGGTATCTCTAAAATTAAAAGCAGAAGCAGAATCATTTCCCAGATGAAAGAAAAATTGTTCAAGGTACTGATTTTTTTTTAATATGGGAAAAAGAAAATTTTAAAGACAGGAAAATAAACGACTGTCCCTTGATGGAGATAACTGTAAGGGAAGCTAGAAGCAAGCCATGTGCTGCGGGCTGGGATGATGTTGTGACCAATTAGCATAAGTCCTTCCTCTTATAACATCTATACAATGGATGCGCTAGTTTAGCATACAGCTACAGAGTCATCTTTGGACTGCTTCCACCAGAGCCAAGGGAGTCACTCCAGGAATTAGCTTGGTTGGCTCATAGTTAGTTCATGTAAGATAGAAATACGCACAAGAACCTCAGTCAGAAAAGAGTAACCAGCAAGAGATTAATTTTTGCCATAAATCTCAGGTTTCATGTTATTTATTCACTTGAGATAGGGAGGGTGTTGTATAGTATATACATTGTGTAATATGAGATAGTGGCCTTGCAATGTAAACTATTAGTAATGGAAAGAACTCATTTTCATCTCCTGGATCATTTTTTTCTCCTGGATTTTGACATGATATAAATCCTGATGAAGTCCATATTTGTTCTCTTTCCCCTGTACTCGTTTAGCCACTCTACTGAACACCCATCTGCGAGCACCCCTGAGCTCTGGGCGGTCTCAGCAGGGCTGTGTCTGCTCCTGGGAGCCAGCAAAGAGCCCTGCACACCTGGGCTCGCAGGGCCGGGAGCTGGAGCCCGGCCTGGCAGGCACATCCCCTCCTCCCCACGAGYGGCTCTCCCCGGCGTTGCCGGGAACTTCCCCGGCGCGCTGGCAGGGACAGGCAGCACGGCGCCTTCCAGCTGCTTGGGGATGGCTGATTCAGGCTCCGACTCAGCCCTGCTCAGCGCCCTTCCTCGGGCTGCACAAGCAGCTCCTTGGCAGGGCCTTTGCGAGTGTAACAGCAACCTCCTGCCAGCAGCACCGGCGCCCSGGGCCAGCGAACCGGCGCCCAGGCCAAGGGTGGCCGCTTCCACCAACTCACAGAGCCAAAGTCTCTCTAAACACATGTCTGTGCACTGGAGGTGCACATACAGACTTGCCTGGATTTATTTCATATAGCCACAGTATTTGTTTCACATATTCTCCATTTAGCCAATACAAAGAAGGTGAAAATGTTAGCAGCAGCAGCTGGGTGCTGTTCACCCTGGAACCATTTCAGGTTGGGTGAGAAGCTCTGGGTTCCTTATTAACACTTTGCCTATAACACACACCCAGCCCCAAACACGTGCTCGTGCAGCTCCCCCCGGCCAGCTGCTTCTCCTCAGCAAGGCTGGCTCTGCGCAGCACAGCAGCACCCGCACCGCTGTGCCCGGCTGAGAAGTCTTGCATGCTGCAGCGCTCTCTCCACAGCTGAGTATTTTCTTTATCTAGTCATTACTGCAGCTTCTGCATCCAACCCACTGACCCAGGTGCGAGAGCACGAGCCTGCTCTCACAGCTGCCCCCTCAACAATCAACAATCGACGACTAAAGCACGTCCAAGGAGCTACTTGAATTATTTCATTTCTACATGAAATTATTTCATTAACTATAAGCAAAACTATAAAGCTTTTTTTTCCAGCAATAAGAATTACCATTTTAGCATTGTATATATGTGTATGGGTATATACACACTATATGTATAAATATATGCATTTATACACATACACACATAAACATACACATATATAGTTGAGAGGTATTTATTTGATGTAATAATCTATACTCCACAGAAAGCCTTCAAAATTAACATTTATCTGGCATTCATTTATATCCTGATTAGGATATAAATCCTGATTAGGGGAATCTTGCATAGGAAATGTGGAGAACTAATGTAGTTTTATCATCTCCTTATGAGCTGCCTCTGAGAATCTGCTTTTTCTCATCTCTGGATGAGCACCTCCAGGGAATTCTAGTCCAAGAATTAGAAACCTCTTTCTCTTTCCTCCATGCCTATGATTCTGGCCTCAGAATGAGAGAATCAAGAGCAGACACGGCCTAGGAGCAAAAAGATGTCTGTATACATAAAGCTGTTGGAGTAATACAYTCATGCCAACATGTGCAGCTGAACGACCACTTTTTTAATTAATTTGCTAAATTTGTTCCTAATACAGCTGTATTATCCCCTCATAGAGGTGGATGAGTGGGCAGATTGAGGCTGATTATAATTTAGTAACCAAAGTGTAATTTTTTCCATTGTTTGTTCAGCACATTACTGAACATGTGGCTTAATTACAGTTGCCTTGTGTTCTTGTCAGTTGGGTATTGCTGATTTTACTAAGCGCAATTTATGCCAAATATTAATTGAAATAGAAAACAGACTTACTATGAGAGCTAACACCCATGAAAACACTAGTTACCCGTATTTCCCACCAAGTGCATTGCACTTTGCCAGGGAATCGGGTTTTACAGGTTAATTTGGATCGCACGCGCTCCCTTCTTCCCCAGAACAGGAGCRGTGCACGTGCTCTCTCCTGGAAAGGGGGCACAACTTCACTGCTTCCACCAGCTGCAAGGGAAACCCCGAGTTCTTCAATCACAGGCCCCCAAAAACTGCTGAGCTAGCTGCGCAGTTTCAGTGTGATTGCCGTAATTGCATGCAACTGTCTCATTAAAAATAATTCAACTTTATATAGCTATAAATAAGCTCCTATGCTGTTGTAATGTGTTTCCAGGCCATTAAGTAGTATAATAAAGATTCATGGATTCTCTCAATAGGTAAGGTAATCAAAAAAAAAAAAAAAGGCAACTAGATATCGAGAGATTCTGTTTTGTTTTCAGAGCCATCTTTACAATTAATCTTTTTGGTATGAATAATTCACTATATATAAATAGAAAATAATGTTCAGCCATAGAATTCGTAACTCAATATATCCAGGAGGGATGCTTTTATACCTCATTTCCTACTCAGCTACTCAGGGTTTTAATTCAATCCATGAAGTTCACTGTCTCTTTTTCATAAATCAAATCTAATCTACAATCAAGTTCATAACCAGGTAGCCAGAATGCAGAATTAAATGATTTTTCAGAGACCCACAAAAGCCTTCCAAATATTTTCTTAGGAGAAAATATGAGAATTCTGTAGCCTTCACTACCCACTAATGAGATTCAGCTATCCACTGTGAAACGACCCAAATATTTCCTGGAAAGMGCCGCCGCAGTGGCAATATTGAAGCTGCAGTCTCCAGGCCGCGGTGCGGAGGAGGCAGGCGCCACAGGCCYGAGGCGAGGGGCAGGAGGAGGCGCCGCAGCAGCGGCTCAGGCCGCGCAGAGGGAGGCACAGGCCACAGACCAGCAACGCTCAGCTCCCGGCCCGCACCCCATCGGGGCGCTCCCTCCAGCACGAGCAGGACACACGGAACAAGGACAAAGGGGAACTGGAAGTCTGGAATACAAGAAGCACAGCTCCGTATGCAGAGTTTCTGGGCGGCACCACGAGGTGACGGTGCCACGCGTGCCRCAGTGAGCACAGCGGCTGATGGCCAAACACGTCACGTTTTTGCCTCAGCTGGACACACTGTAGATTTCTCCAGACTACCAAAATGCCTGCGGGAAGCACATCTCATCTCAGCGCTGCACCCCTGTAAAATTCTCCTCCTGTTTGAATGAACTTGCAGCACGAGGTGAGACACGACTCAGTGACACAACACGCGCCCTGACGATTTTACAGAACGCAATTACAGCAGAAAAATTCCAAACCCATCAGAGTCACCCTCATATATTACCTTGGAAACCTGAGCCAACAAGGGAAATATAAGCTAAAGGCGAAAGAGAAAGAAATGAACAACTGCAAAATGAGTCGTTAATTCAAGATTGCAATATAATCTGTATAAATATTTAAGCTGTTCTTCTATTTGTTCCTGAATCTACAGTGATTAAAACGCAGCCATAATACTCTGTGTTGCCTTTTTTCTTTTTTAAATTGCAAGTGCAATTTTAAGCAAGTAGACAAACTCAAGAAACTTAGTGTGAATATTTATGTCCATATAAACTTCTTAATGGCCACATCCTTGCTGTGAGCATAACAGCTGAATTCTGTGGATTAAATTCTTTTGGTCTGATCCTGTTACTACTGTTTTCATTGGTAAAATTCTCGCCAACTTAAGCCAAGGTCTAACCAGCTCCCATTGAAAAAAATGCAATTCTTAGRTGCATATATAATCACCTATATTTCATGCACACATCCTAATTTTCCTGTTTTCTCCGAGTTTTAATACTCGGAAAACATTAACTAGGTAAACTATATGCCAGTAATTAAATGTGTGCAGTCTTGTGTTTCCAGGATTTGGGGGAAAATGCTGTGTTCTGCTCATACTTGGAATCAGAAATCACAATCTGAGTGACATTCAGCCTCTTGAGTACCAAGCTTCAAATCTTAGTATGTTCAGTTCCTCCTCCTACAGGCTTGGCAATGCATATGAGCAGCTTAATTTAGAAGACTGGGGAATTATGATGCATTTGGCAGTCAGCAAACACCGCTGCCATGAGATTGTCTGCCTCTATTTATGATTTCCATCACTCAGGCATATTCACAGCATCCTGGACAAGCTAGGATGCCCCTGTGCTGCCTCCTTGCCATCTTGAAATTCTGATGCAGAAGAAAAGGAGAAACAGACTATTCCCCTGGCCTGCAGATACTTTGGAAGGATATGGGAATATACAAAAGACACCRACTTCATCAGAGGCTTTTCATTAAAAAAAACAATTCGCCTTATATCTCTCTAGACCGTGTACTTCAAAGACTCGTGTTCAGCTTCATATCTAAGCTGGTTATGAATTTTAGAGGGATCCTGACCTAACATATACATCCTATTTCGCTGTTCTCATCAAATCACCTGCAAACACAACTATGTGTGTGCTCTGCAACAGTTTGCCTGTACCACACCTGAAACCTTCTATAGAGAGCTCAGAGCTGAACAAAGGCTCAATTTTCCCTAAATATTGTAAGAAATGGAGAAAATGCCAAAGTTCAAACTATTCTGTACGATATCTTATTCCTAGATAAAAATCAAGGTAGAAATTGTGAGCCAGAGAGGTTGCCAGGTCTGCCAGAGCTCAAGGGAATTGGCAAGCGGCTGCTCTGTGCAGTCTGAAACAGGCTCTGGCTTKGCAAGCATGTGTCTTTTTTGCTGCTGTTGTGTTTGGTTTAAAAAAAAATACTCCAATTCTTTAGTCATTTGTCTGTGATTAGTAGTGGCCTGTCTTTGTTTCAGTTTGGGGAACAAATGTTACTCTGAAATGACAGCGTAATTTCCTATGCTGAAGCTGTCTCTCTTTATGACTCATCTATGCATTGTACTCCAAGGCGTAAGCATGAATCACAGATAACAGAGATGAATACAAATGAATCTAATTTATTTATTTGAAACACAGCAATTTTTTTTTTTTTTTTTTTTGCCACAACTCCGAAATTTTCTGGAAATCAAATGAATGGCATCCAAATGAGCCACATCAGACAGAGTAAGATCCTTGCATTATGGAAAGCCGGAAGAATTTGGATGTGGTTTTCTTATTGTTGGTGTTTTTTTGTTTTGTTGGCTTGTTTTTCTTTTCTTTGTAAACTTGCTGCTAAAGATCTGTCTCACACGTAGGTAGCAGCATTTCTTCTATATTAAAAACAATAAAGCAGATAAAATCAAATGTTGCTGTTGCCTGTTATTGTTACATACTATAGTAATACAGCAATTCCAGGACTACTACCTTGCACATCTGAGAACTGAAAAACCTTTGAGAAAATCACTATAGGTATTACAGATGTATTTTTAAAGAGAATAACCAGCTATAGATGTTAAGTAAGTTAGGCCTACTTGACAGCAGTATTAGCGTGTGTAGATGTAATTTAGTACTCCCTAAAAGATAAGGGAGAACTTTAGTTATAAAAAGAGGGAAGTAACTCGAGCACAAACCACCCCTCCACCCCTGTGAGAAAAGCTGCGACTGTAAGAAGAGGTTAGAGGGGAGCGAGGCTGACGAGAGCGACCGCGAGTCCAGGCGATCGGAGCCCGGCTGGAACCACCGCGGCAGCCGGCCCTGCTCGCCCGGCCCGGTGGGTGAACTTGCCTGGCTCTGTGTTAAAGAGGTTTGGTGTCCAAATGCATTTAGCCTCCTCACTCCCATTTGGGCTTAAACAGTGCCAACTGCATCAGCCATCCAGTTAGGATTGCTCTGAACTTACCAAGTGCAGGATCAAACCAGTGGGTCTCACGAGGGCTACCAGATCAGCAGTGTTAAGTACAGAAACTAGGGCCCCCGAATGCCCTGTGTTGGAATCAGAGCATACTTTTAACTCATCTCACTGCCTTTGCCCATTAACAGGAACCCAAAGGAAGGACTATGGTTTCCCCCCACCCCCCCTCACCCGCATGCAGTTGTTTATTTTCTTTCTAGACTATAAAATTSATTTGGAGAAAGGGAGACTGTTATGTCCGCATAATGACCAAAAGTCAGCGTACCTTTTCCTGGAGTCCCTGAGGCAACAGGACATTTGTTCCTTTGATGAAATTAAAGCGACAATGTCAGCTTAATACTCTCCCATAAAGAGACTTGGGTAGCTTCCATTTAAATGCGTTTTTAACTGCGTTTTAGGATTTAGTAAATGTGTACCTGTCGAAGCCTTCACTTTCTTGGATTGTATTGCTAAGTCTAGTTCCCTACAAGTAGGGGAAGTTTATAAAGGCTGTAATTGCCTACCAATGAAAGGTTTTTTTTTTTTTTTTTTAATGCAGGACTAACACTCATATTTATGTTTGAGAGATTATATCCTGAATTGAAAAACAGAATGTAAACTTTACAAATCTCAAAATCTATAATTAAGAACAGCACTTGACAAGATTATTTTTTCCAGCTGACAAATAAATGTCACTTTCAAAAGAATATTCCACAGAAAGCAATAAAAACAAGCAAAGGGGCAAAAATTGTTCTGTCTGCACTGGCAGAAGACTGGGAGGGTTTTCTGTGTGGACTTATAATGACAGCACTGTGGGCTCGGCAAGCACATCTAAAGAGTGACAGACTTAATTCATGTTTCTGTGCAGTACAGTGACATGGAAGCTGGATCTGAGCAGCTTTCAGCAAGTAATTGAAGGCAGTGCAAGCAGATTCTAATGCACAAGTGGTGTACAGTTCTGCTGCTAATAAATAGTAAGCTAAACACGCACATTACTATTTCATTTTATGCTTTATCACCATTATTCACTTGTTCTTTAGAAGCCCCTTTTGCCTCAGGTCAGAGAATTTAACCTAACTGGGATGGTTACCATACAACGTCTCAGAAATAAACAATTTCTTGTAGCTCGTTGTATACTTCCATATTAACTGATATAACCCCCTGGAGATCTTCTGCACTCTACTGCTACAGAAGTGAAGATGCATTTGCAAATGAATACCTGCTGACCCTGAACGTTTACAGGCATTAGGAGCGGCAGTTCTGCTCGGCTGTTTCTCTTCTTGGAGGACAGCTCTAAATAGCGTAGTACAAGCAGGCCTGTTTTTAAATACAATACTCTTTTCACTAGTACCGAGACAAATGAATAGGAAATTACCAGCATCATAGCAAATTATGCTAGGGCAACACAGAATGCCTTCTTTTTCCAGATGTCTGAATTCAAGTCACTTCCTCTAAAGATGTTCATGAGTATTCCAGATTAATAATACATTTTTTCATTACATGTTATGAAAAACTATGTCAGTGTATCATTCACACTAAAATCAGACAACATCGAATCAAAAACCTATATAACATTTAGGAAGGGCTGGAGAAAAGATAAACTAGAATAGCATCCTTTGGGAGCAGAAGAGAAGGGTAGGAGAGAAAGGGAGTTCGTTCTGATCTCCGACATACCCAATACTAAATTATTTAGCTAAAGTCTTGCCCTCAGATACTTGTGGGAACCTAGGGATAAGGAAGAGTCTCTTACTTGAAATGAAAGAGTCTTTGGAAGTCAAATGCACCGGAGGTAGCAGTGATTGAGCATATACAATTCTGACTTTCTTGATATTCAATATATAGTGGACGTTAAAAACATTTTTAAAGTAGAAAAAGAAATAAAGGGTTTATTTGAATATTCTGCTTAAATTGGTTTTTACTGGAAAATTATGAATTTTGATTAAATATTTTATATCCCACAGAAAAACTTCCATTGATAGAAAATGAAGCACCTGAAAAGACATTAGAAATTTGGAATCTTAGCCAGCCTATTTCTTCATTAAAGTCAAAATAATTCAGTTATAGATTTTCTATTGCAACTGAGACTGTATCCAGGGACTTCGCACCCCCCCCCGAAGTTCCATGCCTCTTTTCCCTGGTAATTAATTTAAACAAGTCCCCTGATTTGAGAACGCCAGTATTTTATGCTGTGAAGAACTCATTGAGACAGTCCATCCAGGGAAGCAAAACCATAATCACATCTGAAGGCAAACAAAGCATAAATCACCACGCTGGCAACCAGCCAAGACAGTAGGGGACAAGTGTAAAAATATTACTGAAATGGCAGTACAATATTCTAACTGCATGCTGCGAACAAGACAAACCAGAGCTGAACGTTATTTCTGTTGTCACAGATCATTACATATTAGAAGGAAAGAAGAGGGGGGACTTGTAAACAGAAGCTTCAATTCAGATGTGGATTAGCAAGGAGCAAGTCCTTGCAGAGACACCAGGAAATCCATGTTTCACTATATAAAAACCAAGCTTAACTCAGATGTTCCCATTAGGAAAGGCAAAAATTTCAGAATCTGCCATTCCCAATGACTGCTTCAATATTATGCTCTGATTTTAAAATACCACTAGGCACATTCAAAGCAAGTCAGCTGGAATGGTAGAGGACACCTGGAACACTACGCACAGCACTGACAATTTAGYTTGTCATCCAAACATGAATATAACAGCATAAAATGAATGTCAATGCCTCATTATGTAAAGTTTCGCATGATGCATAAAATTATTATCAATTAATGTTTAAATATGAGCAAGATATTCCAGTCCAGTTCAAGGCTTCATTATATTAGACACTGTTGAGAAAAGTGGAGGGGGCAGCCTTTGTCACAAAAGGTACCTTTTAAGGACTAGGACTTTTATATAACAAGCAGATCCTCATTGCAGCTAATTCCACAATGGTGACCTTGCAAACCGCTGTGTTAAACGCACCCTGACAGGATAGCCATCACGGCACTCACATGAAAAGATCAGTCCCCATTAGTGCACGTAGACGCAGAGAGGCAACTTTCTGAAACAGACTTGAGCCTAAGTTTATCATGCAGAAACCAAGCGAGAAGTGATAAACTACTTCCAAGGCTTTGGGTGACAGTATATTACAGGTACGGCAAGACTCATCCCCCAAGTCTGGGGACCAAAGTAGTAAAAGTGAATATTTTTTCCCTCGGAAATACCTGCATGATATTCATTTCCTGAAAATAATCTTTTACAAAGGGATTATGGATTTTTTTTTTTTTTTTTTTGCTCTTTCTTGAAGAAGCCAACAATTCTCTTAGAAATTATTCTATCTGTAAGACAAGGAAGCACGATGATAAAAGTAGTCTTCACTTCAGCAACCCCCTTGAGCTTGATACCAAGCTTGTGATCAATAGTACAACACTGAATGGGTGATCAATAGTACAACACTGAATGGATTTTTGGCTTCCTTAGTGCAAAGCCCGTATGCCAGCAGTGCTACCAAAGGGCTAACAGCACATGCAAAGCAGGTCCCCTCTCTGCGTGCTACAAATTCCACAGAAACAGGTTCTACAGCAGGAAACCACTGTGCAACAGGCTCTTGGGAACACATCTAAGAGGAATGGGCAGACAATTCAGAAACAAGGAGGAAAGTCAGAGCAAAGAAAGCTTAGGAAATTTTAGGGAAAAAGTTTAAAGTCCTACTGATGAGACATGACTTCAGTAGCTGTGAGTCTAAAGCAATTTGCTGAAACCTGAAGCATACAGAGGGGGCGAAGGACACGGGCGGTCACTGTGTGCCGAGGAGGCAGAGCAGCCACCCTTCATTAGCCAAGCAGCAGCACTGGCGAGATCACCCATCTGCTCAGACAAGAGTGAAGGGAACCCGGCGCCTTGGCAGGCTGTGCCTCCAGGGTGCAGGCCCTGCGTGGGGCACCTCGCTTTCTGCGCCTGCGCTGGCAGGCTCCTCACCTTCCTCAGAAAGCAGCGCAGAGAAGACACAGATTAAATAGCTCTGAACTGGCCTCCATGTGTCTCAGTCTTTTCCACATTTTCAACATTGCTCAGCTTTAGCAATGCAAGATACACATGCAAAGTACACAGTGCAAATACTCCTCTAAATATCAACCACTTCCCCATTGTTTCACTTCTTCCTTGCTTTTTGTGGCTGCCTTCAAACACTAGAGATTTATTTTTGTGATGTACCAGAAAACTATGGTGAAAAACATTATCAACAGCCTCTTCAGAGATGAGCTTGAAAATCCATTTTAATCTTTCAGTAATTCATCCCTTCCCACTTTCATAATACCGCCCCCCTTTCCCATGYCAGCTTTCCAAGTCTGCCAGCTCACAGCCACCTCTAACTGTCTCGCAGCCGGCATTTGTCCGCCACGCAGAGGGTAAGGGAAGATTCTCCATAATGCAACGGCCCCCGCGCAAAGCTCCGCTTCAGAGCGGGCTAAGAAGAGATGTTAAGGAACTGCTATCCCACAACACATGGTCACAGTTTAGAGTGAAAAGAAAACTGCCTATAAAAACAAAGAACAACTTAGAAACATGTGATAAGGAAGGCTTGCTGGAAAGCAGGTTGTCTTGTTTGAAGGTTTTCTCTCTCACTCGCTGCAGGCTGAATCACACATGCACACAGAAGTTCCCCCAAGTAGGGGCAACTCAGCAAAGCTGATATTCGTGTCAGCTTTGCAACTGTGCTGACATCAGAAGGAAACTGCTGCTGTGTTTTCTAGGCTTAGCACCGAGCTACAGAACCTGATGGAGCCTGAGCACCTCCAGCCTGCAAGGCCGGGTGCGCTTGGGGGTCTCCTGTCCCACACAAATGGGAACTACTGGCAAGGAAGCTTTGCCAAGCTGAGGGGCTCAACAGGCTCCAGTTGTCTTCCTGCTGCCCACAACTTACCCCCAGATATCCCTGAAAATAGACAAACATGAT